AGGGAAATACATATACGAGTATATGTGGGGAGAAAAACCGCACACAATGTGACGGCATCGATGGCTTCGAATAATGTTTGGTTTGGTCTGTTTCCCATCGAGGCACCAGTTTCTGGTCGGGATTTCGAGTGCAAACGGCAAACGGCAAACATATGCTGTTGGCATGGGGCAGAAATATGGTCAGAGCTGGGGCTGGCTGGCTGGGCTGGTTTGCAAATAGATTTTTCATCATTTTTTGTCATTTTCCGTTGCGTACACACGGCGTTTGTGTGATGAACACTTTTTGCACTCTCTTTTCTCTGGGGTTTTTCCTGTTTGTCCTGTTTTTCCTGCTGAAATTTCAATAATAACATTTGTATGAAGCTGTTTATGTCCCGGCGGCCAAGGGAACTGTTGTTTTGCGGTTGCCTGCCGTTGACAATGTGGATGACAATCATGTCACGTCACGGATAAGGTGCTTTTGACTCCTCTCTATACTTTACCACCCATCATATATTATTTTGACCTTTTTTTGGGGTGCTTAACAGGCAACTCGCGTTTGCCTTTTGTTTGCCGCCTTATTTTTATTATATTTAGGCTGCTGCATCCCCCCACACATGTCAGCAAAAATCGTTTACGCTTCATTGTTTTTACTCAATTTTGTTGATTTTTTTCCGCCTGACTCTCCCTTTTTTTCATTTTTTTCTTTTGTCTGAGGTCGGCTCTTTTATTTTAGCTCCACAGATGCGCTCATCCGCCAAAAGTTCTCTATGCAAAGTATAAATCTGAATAAATTGAAAACTGCCACTAGGAAAAAAGCAAAAATGAAGTAGCCCAACTTTGAGTGCTTAACGCTGACTTCAAAGAGCTCAAAGCCCATTGCACAAAAGTAAAAAAAAAAATATATATATATCAAAAATGATTAAGGCCCCAAAAAGACTGACTAAGGATTTTTATCGATTGAACTGGTCGAAGTTTACAGTTCCCATTCATACATGTATGCATGAGGCCAGCTTAGTTTTAAGTCTCTCTCTAATCAAATTTTTGCCAAACAAAGTTTCCTTTTTACGCCAACATAATACGACGGCATTCCACTGCCCCAAAAGTTGCCAACACATTTTCCAATTCACTTTGCAAGTCCGTAAATTGAACGCTTAGCGTGTGTGTGTAAATTGTTTGTATGAAGCTTTTTCCTATGATTTATGAGCGAATGGGAAAAGGTAAGTCCTTAATACTTGTATTATTATTTCGTAGAGCTGAATAAAATTTATGTTATAAATTTTGATCAAATTTAGATTTTATGTTGTATTTTTTTTTAATTTTAAAATTCCAAAGCCTTTTTAATAATAATAGCAGTGTGCGTCCATGATTTCAAAGTCATTTTGTTTTAAATTAAGACCACAGCCAGCTCAAGATATATATATATATATATGTAACATTGAATTTAAAACAAATCTGAATTAAAATTGTTTCCAATTAAGTTATGAAGTATATAGCCAATATACCGACAAAAACCCGAGCCGGAAACCAATTTAAGTGAGAGCAACTTAACCTAATGAGGCATTTAACTGCTGTTCAACAATGTCAGCAAACTCACATAATCCGCAGGCCTTTACAAACACAAAAGTAAGAGGATGTTGCAGCAACAACAATGACTGTAATGTGCCACTTGAGTGCCTCAGGCGAACGGCCAGCCAGCAAAAATCTCAGAACAAACATTAATTACACAAGGATTCTCGCCCAGACACAAACTACCGTTGACTTTAATATTTATAGTCTCCTTGCTGCCGGAAAGAAAAATTTGCTGCTTAAATAAATAACTGGCAGAGAGAAAAGAACTCCAAGTACATGCAGAGCTGAGAGTCAGGAAGGAAAATTGAGCAGCAGGGAAACGCTGAAAATATGCGCCCACGCATAATTATATGAAAATTCGCAATAATTATAAATAATGCAAGGAGCGCTCAAAATGCCGGCACACAAACACTCGCCACTTCCGACAACGTCGCCACCTGATGGCAGCGACATCGTTATCATCATCATAATCATCGAAAACATCGTCGAGTGCCACGCCCACTATCCTACTTAACCACTTCGAATTTCCGCTTCCGTAAAGTCGCGAGCGTAAAATTAAATCAGCAACAAAATATTCTATGCAAAATACGAAAAAGAATGCACTCAGAGCTGCTAAACCAATAAAAAATATGTACTTTGCCCATGCTTTTCTTCTGTTACTCTCTGTGTTTTTCACCATTTCTTCGTCATCGACCAGCAATTAGAATGCTGACAAAATAGAAGTGCATAAACCTGCTCAAGTAGCTAAGAATTTTTAGTCTATGAAAATTGGTTTTAACTGAAGGTTTTTGACTGAAGTAGGTCAAAAGTGGGAGTAAAGTAAAAATGTTTGATTAAATAATTTTTAGTTCTCAGTCTTCACAAATTCTAGTTAGTTATTGAAATTAGTAGCTATGTAGCTGACTTAGTTTTTTATAAGCAAATAAATTTGATGTATATTTCAATTAAATTTAACCTTTTTACTATTTGAATGTATATGTTAAATAAATACAAATCCTAAATTAAATTGAATTTTTGAAAAGAGGACCGCAAATATAACAAAAATTGTTTTAATTTGTTTCTAGTTTTCGGTGACTTTTATATTGCACATTACAGAATTTTAAAGTCAACACAAATTTTTGTGTGAAAATTGATAAATCCTAAAGAGAAATTGAATATGTTCAGCAGAATAAAAATATATATTTCCTAATCAAAATGCATAAATTCAATTTGCCTCCGAACATCGGTTTTAATTTTAAATTCCGCCAAAAAATGTCCCTCAATTTATTTGTGTATAAATTATCTGTCAAACCCATACTAAAATGTGTATGTTTTTGGTATTATCAACGCTCAACCCTAATTTATTTTGGGAAAAATTAAATCGTGTTCCCTCATCTGTCAGGTTCAGGAATGAATTGAACAGAAACAACAGTTTTGTTATTTGAAAAAACAATTGGTGTTTGTCGACCTGGTTACCTCATCGCTTTTTTTTTCTTTCTCCATCGATGGCTAAAAAAGTATTTACGAACAAATATGCCAGCGATATTGACAAAGAGCAGAGATTTTTTGGGCTTTGCAGTGCGGGACCCGCAATAAAACTCCCATAATTCCACATGCAGGGATTGTGGGGTTACCGCATACCCCACCCGTTCTAACCGCTAGCGGGGTTAATGTTTACATTTTATTATGCTAAACTAAGACCAACAGTTTTATGCGATTTTTTTTATTGGCCTAATACGCTTCACGGCATCGTGGTTATCCACTTGTTTTACGGCTGGCGCTACCTTTATGGGTAGAACTGTAGATTTTCTTTTATCTTTAATAGTAACATTTGTCTGCCGATTGAAATTGAAAATCTTATCATAAAAATCATGTCGTGACTTGGAAAACAGTAATGGGGCTGACTGCAACAGAAGGATACAATCGCAAAACGAATCTTTATTTTATTTGCCATTTATATTGGAGATTTATTAGACGGGGCATATTTCTTGAAGTGGCCCATAACGACTTTATTGCGTGATGGCTGGTAGAAACTGTCAATAGCTGGGCGATGGATGGAGCACCCTGCCGCCTCCTCTCGCATTTAACAGCTCATCAGGCAACAGAAGTTGCAAGAGGAGCAGGGAAACACACTAAAAACCTTGGCAATCAGTGGAGCATAATTTGTACAACAATTTCCGCTGCAGACCAAGTCCACAAACCGGGATTACGGTTCGCCTCGTTCGCCTTGTTCGGTGTCTGTGTTTCGGTGTGGTCAAAAGTCAAAAGTCCGTTGAACCCCAGCGAAGCGTAAATGTTTTTCCCGGTCCTCTTCTTGTTTTTCCTCTTGGTGCTTCGTTTTTCCTTTCCAATGATTCAATAACACGTGTTAGCCGGCCCAGAAAAAAATGAAACCAGAGCGAAACAACCTTCTCGGCGGCTGATTAGAACAATTTCAATTTTCACGCGGACATTCTCGTTTTTTGTTGCCTCTGGCGTTTTTTTCCTGCGCCGTCAGACCTTTGGGCACGAAGGTCATTCAATTTGATTAAGCAATATTTTCGTTTGTTTGGGATGATTTAGCAGGAAATTTATGTGTATGTGGGCGTACACCACGTGACAGGTCCAACATTCCAATGTCATGCTCGTCGCTCTTATTTTGGCCTTCGGTTTGGGGGAACCTTTAGCCATCCATTAACCCATTGTTTGGATTTAAGGATTGGTCTTAAAGAGCGCTCTTGGGCCATTGGAAATTCGATTTTCATTTTTTATTTCATAATTTATTTTGAATAAGCTTAATATGATCCATACATTAGTAGTCAACTAAATTAATACTATAATAAATTAAATTGAAAACAAATGTATTTAACTTATAAATTGAAATATTTCTTTGCCTTAACCTAATCGACAAAAAAAAAAAACGGAACTAAAAAGTTATTCTCTTAGAAACCGACATATAAATTACATTAATTAACAACCTAAGTTGTTACTAAAAATTAATATTTGCTGCGCCAAAGGAAAAAAGTAGATTATTTATCCCATTCCATCTCATCCAACTTATATGGAACGAAATAAACTCTAATTTCCAACCGCATCAAAGTTTCCGTCTGATTGTAATGCAAACTGTATTTTACAATTTGCAGCTTGCCAAGTGTGAGCTCGCACAAAAGCTTTTCAATCTCGAATTCATTTGCTTGAAATCGAATAGCAGACTTGCAGAATCGCAGATACAGGGAATCGAAAAGTGAGATACGAGACACGAGGTATGAGATACGAGGTAAGAGAAAAGAGAGAAAGGAAACAAGCACTTCATAATGAAATGAAATCTTATCACATTTCAGCTTGATTGCAGCCTGCCCGCAATATTGCTGCTTTCTCGATCCTGTAGCGAATGCGTAAAGCAAACTTGCAACTTTGGCAAGCTTAAAATCCAATTTCTTTGGCTCTGCAGCGACTTTGAGTTGCGCGTAAATGTATTGTGTGGTACTCACCAGCCGTGGGATTGTGTCGTCCTGCGGCCGCCAGGCTGAGATTGCGTGGCAGGGTCATGCAATCACCGCTGTTGGATCCTCCTCCTCCGACACCACCACCACCAACACCACCACCACCACCACCACCACCTCCGCCCAATCCTGGTCCCACTGCGGTGCTGGTGAGCAGGACATTGCCGCGACTATCCACGAGGGCAGTGCCGCCGCCCGCCAAATTCAGGGCGGCCGTGTTGCGCGCATAGTTCAAAGTGGCCGCGTGATGAAGTCCGCCCGACTTGGGCAGCGTCATCATGCCGGGATTGTAGCTCACACTGCTGCCGGACACCACCACGGAGGCGCCACCGGAAGCGGAACCGCCGCCTCCACCTCCTCCTCCTCCTCCAGCCGCGCCCCCTGAACCGGGGCCGCCACCTCGGCCAAAGGTTTGCGTGCCGGTCATTCCCTTGATTTGCATGTGCTCACGTTGCTGCTGTTGCTGCTGCTGGTGCTGATGTTGCTGCTGCTGTTTGGAGCTGGTGCTGTAGGTGACGTTGCCCAAGTTGTCTGTGGTCACCTTTGACCCCTCAATGCCACCGTTATTTAGTGCCCCACCACTGCCGCCACCCACTTGCTGCTGCTGCTGCTGCTGCATACCTGTAGAAGATTTGAAGGAATACTGTTACTACACCAAGGTTTATTTAAAACATTAAATGTGAGAATAGACTCTACACGAGGGTGCCACAGAAATAACTAGTTTGAAAAATGTTTAAAACTAAGCAACAATATATTTTCAATACGAAAGTTAGTTGGATTTATAATAAAAGTCGATGTTTATTTTTGTTTCCATACTTTTTGACACCTTAAGGGATTTTAAAACAACAGAAATTGTATTTACTGACAATAGCTTTTTGACTTTAAAACCTGATAACTTTCAAGGTTTTTCATTAAACCAAACCATTTGTACTTCATTAACAGTTGTTTAGTTTTTGAGCTTGTCATTGTTAAGTTGTTAGACTCCATCCAGAAATAAATTTTATAATAATATTTAGGTATAATTGTAGATAAGGGAACAATTAAAAATCCTTTGAATTATTGTTTAGTTTTAAGCAAAGATAAGATACATAAACATTCATTAAAGATTTAAGTCTTTGAATTACGGTCTGGTATGGTCAGTATAATGGGTTATTGTGTTAAGCTAGCACCACCCACCTGTATTGGAGCAGATGTGCGGTGGCGGCGGCTTCACATCGTTGACCGCAGCCGCTGCCGCCGCCGCCGCAGCTTGGAGCAGCATGGCCGCCTGGCCCGCCTGGTCCTGATGGCTCTCCACGTCCACGATCACGTTGGCCGAGCTCTGCGAGTGGCCCATGTGGTAGTGGGCGTGCTTGATGGGCTCCGGTGGGTAGGGCACTTGCTGGTGCAGACTGCGCTGCTGGTACTGCTTCTGCAGGGTCTTCACCTCCAGGCGCGTCTTATCCCGCTGATAGTAGACGCCGGCGAAAATCAGTACATTGAGTATCAGCAGGCTGCAGCCGATGGCAATCGTTACACTGAGAGCTGTCGAATAGGCCGCATAGCCGGCCGCCTCGAAACCGGAGGCCAAGGTATCCGACGAGGCGTTGGCCAGAGTAGTGGGTGCAAAAACACCTCCGCCGCCTGAGTAATTTCCTCCGACGGGTATACAGGTCGTATACATGTTGTTCGGCTCAACCGTGGTAACTGCAAGTGGGAAAGGAACGAGAAGTGGGTTGCATATTAATCTCTGTTGACTGGCTGTAGTTCATTTTACTCTCTGGGGGTCGACAGGCAGTTCACGGGTCGGATGAGTAATGCCCACGGGCAGGCAAATTATTCATTTGGGGCGAAGGGGTGATCAGGGACACAAGATTCTTTCTGTTTCGTATCTTGTGACACACTTTTATGTTGAGCACACATCTTTAAAGTCAATTAGCAGAGATTCCATATTGTTATGGAACAACATAGTTAGCTTAGCACCTAACAAAAAGCAAGTTTTGCCTGCAGCGAATTTGTAGTTCTAAATAATGCCTCTAACATAGTTGCAGGCTTCAACAAAACTAGAAACAGTGAACGTGAATTGAAAGAATTATATTTCAGGAACACAATAGAACAAAAGTAGACAGCTAATTCCATATACATGTCATTAAACACATTAGCTTGATATTCAATTTTTGTCTAGTTTTACCTTATAAACAAAAACTGAAACAGAGATAATTAATAAACAACAGCCAAAAATTTACAATTTGTGTAAATATCTAATTCATTTGGAGTTTTGACATCATTTTAGTTATTTAAATAAAAAAATCACTCTTTGTTATATTGGTGTCAATTAAACAGAAAATTCATTTAAAATATTAAACAAATATGTTTTGAAAATATAATTAAAGTCATAAATCATTTCTATACTGGTTAATACAATAAAAGTTATATAAACTCTAATGCTGTACAATATTTGGGCAAGAAATGCCTTCGGATTAGCTGGGCTTAGGCTCTTTTGTGTTACAATCCTTTCCGACTTTAGCTCCTTTGTCTCGAATGTCCGGAGAACAGAATTATTCCCATTTGCTATGAGAGCGCAGGAATATTTTGCGCTCCACTTGGCCGCCATTGTACTTGCCAAGGTATTCGAATGCGACTGAAGGAGTTGGAAGCGCAAATGTCTGTGAAAACAAATGGGTTTCTCGCTGCCTTTGAAGCCCTGGCTCGACTCCCCTTGAAATTGTATTTGTCATTGTGCTGGAAGCTTCCCGGCATTGTATTCTGCAGTCCCCTCAAGTGTTTCCTACACTTGGCATTGTTTTGTATCAAGTGTGGGTAAATGAATGCCTTCTGTCTGTACTCTAGCTGTTTGTCTGCAAAGTTTTGTCTTTCAATTTTCAATTTTCTGCATATCAAACAATTTTATCAAAGTTCCTTGGCTCAAGATTAAAGACTTGTGCACGTATTTTGCATAAATATTTCCAAAATAAATCTCTCGTAATAATCGCCAAATAGGAGTGAAAGTGGGGCCATATGCCACTGCCACCCAAGTCGGGTGTCAATAATCGTGTGAAGATTTGCAGCCGCCTTTCAGCCACTTACTGCTTTGTGTGAGCGGTTTTTCAATTTTCATTCAAGTGTGGCATTTAATTTACTCAAGATTGTTTGGTCGGAAAAGCATCAGGTGAGCTCATTCTCAAAGTTTTTGTGGGCTTGTCAGGGAATCCAATTTGGAATTAGCCCCTATCTATACATAATAATTTCTCACCAACTTTGTCCATCAATCATGATGGCAAGGGCGGTCGCTCTCAGGCTCAAAAACTCTCAACCTGTCACTTGAGTTCACTCAGGAAAATGCTTAAGACCCTTTTTTCATCACTCTGTGTTTGTGTGTGTGCGTGGGGGTGGACAACCCTTTTGCTAAATTGCATAACCAGATAAATTGTAATCCCCCCATCAGCAGATTTGACCCCGGCCCCTAAGCTCTTTATCATTCCGCCCCATTTTGCATTTAATTTTGCAAGTACAAATACTTTTCAGTTGGTGTGCAGCATTTGCCATTTTCCCCAATTCCCTCTTATTTTTAATTCCTTTTTTATTTGTACTCTTATTTTCATTTCGCTTTTCCAAGGGCCGCCTGCGTTCAAGGACCCCAGATAATTATGTTACGAGGACACATGGCCCCAGCTTGAAGCAGACAGATAACCAAAAGGCAGGGGGCAAAAGCAATGCTTAATGTGGCTTTAATTAGTGGAATCACAAGAAAAAAATAAAACAACAAAAAAGTAGAGCAACCCCAAGCCATAAAATTAAACCGAAAGTCCTGGCTGCTTTTTGTGCCACAAAAGCGAAAAATATTTGAGGCCCAAGTGTCCTTGCATAAATTAGATATTAGCCGGGACAACGGCATCAGTCGAGTCTGCCATCCTGCGAAGGACACTCTGGCATTTATTAAGTGAACCATTTCAATTTTCACTGATAGTTTGACATTTCCCAGCTTAATCAGCCCAGCTTCCCCCAAAAAAGGAATCGCAGGAATTATGCAAATGATCGGAGGGCGAAATGGCGAAGGATTTTCTCAGTAGGCTTTCGGCTAAGTCTGCTTCCACATGTTGCTTTATCTCCATCTCTTTGCCAAATAACTCAGGTGAGCCGACTCTTGCCCGGTTTTCTTTTCTATTTCCATTTTCCCTGGAATCCAGGTCAGGCAAAGTAGCACAACGTTGACTTTTGTGTGTGTACCGTAGGATGTGGTTTGTTTGTTTTTTTTTCTGTTCTGGAAAACTGGTAACCAAAGCTCAGCAAGACGGATTGAAAGCGTACTCAGTGGGATTGGAAATGAGTTAGTTAGCCCAGCTATGCTAACAACGTAAGTCTCTTAAAGCAGCCCTAATTATTGAGAGGATTTTCCAAATATCCGAACTTAAGTCAGATGGTGTTTCGATTTAAATGTCGCTAAGGAAAACAATTTTAATAATTATTACCTACACAAATTAGCAGGAATGGCATAAATACATGTAAAGACCGGAGAAATCTAGCTCATCTGAACCTCCTTCGCCATAAAGTTACTTGACGATTCCGTCAGAACCTGAGCAAAATAACAGTAACCATGAAAAACAGGAATCCAAGCACTTCACCACTTTGCCGACTTAAACTTCTTGCGGAAAAGTTGTTTTCCATAGTTTTTGCCTTCATTTTTGTTTTTTTTTTTGTTTTGCACGTTTTTCGATTTATATTTTGTTGCGGCTGCTTTGTTTTCGGGAAATTTGTTCGTTTGGCTTGTGGATTTTTTGGCTTTTAGCTGCATATCTCTGCCGCCCCGTTTTGGCCACGTTGTATAACCAATGGCTGCGGTGATGAGGACAACGATGACAGGGGAAAAGGAGGCGAGACGGGGGAAAAGCTGGGGAAATCTGGGGAAAGACAAGACAAGGCGGCACAGTTGGCAAAGTCAACGCTTAAATGAAAAGCATGTCAAAGTATGTCGAGTCCATATGACACTGTGACTCGGTCGCTGCCTCGCAGCTAGTCTGGGGTTTTTCGGTGGCTATCCGATCTCCTGTGATTTTCCGACATTTCCCACCCACTCATCACCAAATTTCCCAGCTAGTGCTGGGTGTTTTTTGTGGCCTGGCTGCGTCCTCGTCGGCTGTCAACCTGACAGCTGTTTGTCGCATTTCAGGCATTTTATCATCTTCTATTTCCACTTTTTGCCCACTCCAGTTCGCTTTTATCTACCGCTTTTCAGTCCCATCTCCATCTGCGTTTTGTATTTTTTGGCCGTGACCGGCTTGCAAGTTTGTTTTGATGGTCGGATTTAGTTTTGCAGCATTTTTGGCCCCTGCACTAATTGAAATGAACATTTGTTGTCTGTGGTCCAACACTTTTCTCTAATCTGCATTCTACATTAGCCACCAGAAGTCGCACTTTGACCTCCATCCTTTCGCCAGCTTGTTTGTTTGGGTCACAGATTAGTTGTTTGTCTGCGAAAACCGAACTGCCAAATTAAATTAAATTTTGTTTTATTTTAGGCATCATAGTTTTAGTGGGTGATTTAATTTTACATATTTTAAAATAATTACCTAAAAAAATTAAATATATGTTATAATTTATCCCTACAAATTGTTTAATTTATTATTTTTCGGAGTAACTTATTGCTTAGTCGGTTGCTTTCATTATTATTTTGTTATATTTAAACTTTAAAAAAATTTAAATGCAATTTGAGAAATGTTCAATCCAAAGCACGATTGCTCCAACTTTCTTCCGGCCATGTCAACATTTCAATATTTTCTAATTTACCCGACTTTGCCAAGCGAAAGCGTTCTCAACTGCCATGCCCCCGTCCACGTCTCTGCCCCCGTGAGCTAATGCATTTTGCATTGGCCAACTTAGCAAGAAGCGGGATTCAGATGAGGGTTGAGGCATTTAGAGACTTAGCTGGGGGAAAGTAGAAAGTTTCGCCTGAAATTGACTGTCTTAGTTTTGACTTTGAGATAAGCCAGCGTCGGTGGAACTAAGTGGAAGCAGTTGCCATGGCTTGAAACAAGGACACGCCCACGAGGCATGAGCCCGCCCCACAGCCGTTGCACATAAGCATTTGATGTTTGAGTTGGATTTCCCCATTCTCCTGCAGCCAAAGAAAAGCAGCTGCAGTTGCCCCAGCTGCGGGGACAGTTTATTAAAAATGGCAAAAACATAAAGAAAACGAGGAAAAAACAAGCAGAAAAGTTGGCTCTTAATTTAGAGTAAGTGTTGAAAAAGTTTCCGCCAACGAGTTTTACATAAACTGGTTTAATGACTTCCCATCTGAAAACGAGGGAACGGCCAAATGGGGAGGCAAGTGCATTAAAATTATGCGCTATTTACATTTGTGGCATCTTAGACAGACGACCCTCTTTTATTCCAACCCTCCCCCTGGCAGTCGGGTAAATGTAAACGAGAAACAGACAGCTGGAGCGGGAAATAAAAGGAAAGGGGAGGTTTGAAAAAAGGTTACACACACACTTAATGCTTATAGAGATTACAGTTGAGTGCATTTCCAAAAGTCAGCACTCGACACAATATAAATTCAAAAGCCAAACCGTATCCCGGGCAGGACGCAATTTCAATAACCAGAGCCCCAGCTGGAGGTCCAAGTTCGGGGCTGGGTCAAATGGAAATGTCATGCCTGGGACTGAATGGCTGGGAATCGGATTGGGAATGGGACTGGGGACTGGCGACTCGGTTGAGTCGAGGCCTCAGCCCCGCAAAAATGCCAACTTTGCAATTTAACTTGCCGCCAGACCACAAAGTGAAGTAAACACTGACTAGGCCGAGGCCAACATCAAGAGTAAACAGAAATCTTTGCTTCCGAAAGTGTTGATTTTCAACTCACTCTCCAACAAACAAACCTTTCGAGAAAAATGGGTGGAGCCAAATAAATAGAACGAGTTTGCTCCTCTGAATTTCGTTTTATTCGAGAGGGACCGCATATGTGGATGTAGAATATATTTCACTTTCCGTCTAGTGATTAAACAAATGCGCACATGTGTAAGCCATCCTAAATGTTTGACTTTCGATCTCAAATAGCAACATACGTGGCGTATGAGTAATATTGAAAAACACTGAATGGTTTTGCCTTAAAACCTCAATAGCTAAGAAAAGTAGATATGATGTGCACAAATTTGATTTGATGGGATTAAATGTTATTGAGTTAGAAAATTCAAGTCATATCAGAAAGTCCTATCCCTTTGAGTGAATTAACTTCAACAAGAAACAAAACATTTGCCTACTTATCATTTCTGTTTTTGCACTAAATAGTTTGTTTATCTGTGCGGGTACTTGGCGTACAAGTAATACTTTTTGTAACCAGAGAATAAAAGAAACTCGAATTTCGTACCTTTGGACAGCACTCACTTGTGCTAAACAACCTACAATTACCATAAAAATTAATCAACATAAATAGGTAACAAAGTGTTAAAGCATAAATCGAAAGAAGTTTTCCACTGGTTTAATTTGTCAGACCTACTCAGAATCTGCAATTAAATAAATCGAGCCCAAAGGCCGGTCAAGTGTCATTTTGGCTTGGCCTTTGTCAACCGTATTAAACGACAACTGCAGACTGTGCAAATGGCAAAAAGGGACGAGACCGAAATACAATCTACAAAGGCGATAGGCTTTATTCCTTTGGGCTCGGTTTGCCGTTTTGAGCCGGCTTATTTGTTGTTTTTTGTTGGTATTTAAGTGACAGTGACAAGCCTCAGCGACCTTACGACTGCGGTGTGTCAGTAGGTTTGTCTTGGGGTGGGGTGGGCTGGGGTGGTCTACTTACCGCCCAATATGCCGTTTAAATAGGCGGTGGCATTCAGACCGCGTCCCTTCTTCATCATCAATTGCTCATCGATGAGCAGGAGGCGCGATGACGAGGAGGACGAGGATGTAGAGCCGGTCGCTCCGCCGGCTGAGGATATGCCAAACGGATCCGGTTTAACGGGTCCCTCGTACAGGTCCATATCGTCGTGATTGCGGAACAGATTGTGCCGGGCTATCACATCCTCCATTCCGGCGCGATGGAGCTCCGGTATCAGACGCAGCCAAATCGAGAGTTGATGGGCCCGAAAGTGATTCTTAATGCGCGGCTTCATTCCTAGAATTTAAAGAGTATTCCGGTGAGTATGGGTATGAGAGATGGGTGCTTCCGCCAGCAGGCCGGAAAAACATAGGGGCGGGCCAGTGTAAACATCTTCATTTTCATTTCCATGTGACAGATACCAAAACACACACTCATCCACACACGAAACATGCATGCAAATAGCTCTAATGCTAAACTATTCCATTTGGCCGTTGCCTCTGCTTTTGGGCCACTTTCGTGTCATTTGCATGCCAAAAAGGTGAGCGACAGACACTTGGCTCAATTGAGGTTAGACCTCCTCGGTCCACAGGTTATAGAACTCCACCCTCAGTTCGGAGACCTGATGTCTTGTTTACTTTGGCGGGGTGAAAGCGACATAACTGTTTAATTTTTGATACCCCCAGCTTTTCCTGCTAAGAGCCCGCCCTCTGCACTACGAGAAAATACTTTACATTTATAAAAAAATGGCTTGTGCTATCATCCAAAATAGTTTGAAAGTTTAATTTTATATTTAATATCATAAATTAAAAATAGTAGATAAAGCTAATAGACATGTTTATTTAACAAAAATATAAATAAAATAATTTTATCTGTATATCTTATATGAATAGGAATATTCATCAATACAAAATTTAATATTTTGCTTAGCTTTTTGTTAAGTTTTATATATTATTATGGCATAAAGTTTATTAAATTCATTTTTTATTTCTTTGAAGAGCAGAGCCACAAAAAAATGAAGTCTCGTAGCCTACTTCTTTCGAGAGTAAACAGGGGAATGAGTATATCACTCCCTCACATCTCCACGTATGTATTTATAAATAACTGACAAGTATTCACAAAGTTTTCACACACCTTTGAACTCTTAGTCCTCGCCCACAGGAGGAATGGGCATTCACAAGAAAATATGATTGCCGGTCGAAGGACCTTTCCACCTGCAATCATCAATCGCAAGTGCAAATCCGAAATCCAAATAAATACTGCACGCCTTTGGGGCGATGCATAATTCACGCAACAGAACTCTCATTCAAACAGGCTTATACATAAGATATGCTTAAAGTTCGATCTGTCTATATATTTGGCGCATATGTGTGACAGCTGCCTTTGTGTGCCGGAGATACTTGTGTGTCAGCTCCCCAACAAACATTATTTGATTTCGATTTCAGTTTCCTGGCGTATCAAATGAGAACTGTGTCCGCCACTCCACGGCGGAATCCTTTCATCTGGCTTATGCAAAATGCAGGCGTGGCTTTGAAGAGTGGGCGGTACTGTGTAGAATGGCAGCTGTCGCTGTGTGTCGTTTCAATTAAAATCAAGTAAAAAATGGAAAATATTCAGAAGAAAGAAGGAGAATGTTATACATGCGCGCAGACATATCTTTTGATACGCATCGTCTTTCAATGCTTACATGTGCGTAAAGTGCGTGCTGGCACTGCTTTCTTCATGCTTCACTCCCTCTCCATTTCACCGCTTAGCTTACTAAAATATAAAAAAAAGCCATTCTCTTGCGCACAATGTAAGGCAAATCCATTTCCATAACCTGTGCGTAATTTTCATAAAGCGTTAAGCTCGCATATCTGTCGCTATCTACGTCAAGGTGTGTTTGTGAGTTTGAGTGCTTTTAGCTTATTTGTGTATCAAGTGGTCATATCGATTTTGAGGGAACACACTATTCATTTAATTCGCTGTTTTTAAAGAAATATTGCCCAAGAAATATAGAATTGTTTAACTATTAAACTAAAACAAAAATTAATTGTGTTCAACAAAAACTTTGCAACTTGTTATTTTATAAATAATTATATATATATTTCAAATGCGACTTGAAATTTTATATATTTTTTTTATTTACAGTTCGCGCTTTAGGTATTTGAAAAATAAATAAATCCACAGAAAATATAATTTACAAGTATGCTTTCTTTTAAAATAAAAAATAAGGAAAATGAACGTGATCTTGATAAAATTAAATATTTAGTCCTCATTTTAATGTTTTTAATTTTCGCACATATCAGAGTATTTGATAATCGTAACATTATGCAAATGACGTCTACTCGTCACTCTCTTTCGTCTCTGTATTTTTCAGCATTTTCCCCTTGCGTTTGGGCACAAAAGGTGTGAAAAATTTGAAATTAATAACATTTTCGTACATTTGACATGAAGCAACGGTGGCATTTTAACGCACACATAAAGCTTTATGCGATGTCGCCCTCAAGCTCCTCAAACAACCCCATACTTCTCAGCCCCTCACTTCAGGTAATGTTTCGACAATCTCTGGGCGTTTTGATTGCCCTTCATCTACCTGCTGGTTTGGTTGCTGCTGCTTCAATGTACCGACAGTCGAAGGTGTGAAGATTTTTTTTCCACTCACATTTCGTTCAAGTACTTGTGTGTTAACTCCCTCGTTTTTCACCCCTCCCGAAACCTCCCCTTCAATTTGTTGTTGTTAGCAAGCAGAGCATGTTCGGGCGCTGCCTTCTTTAAAATTCAAATTAAATTTGATTCCTCATTTTTTCTGCTGGCTGTGTGTGCTTAGGTTATTCTTTTATATTTTTGGATATTTGTAGCTTTTATTTGGCTTGAATTCTTTGAATTCTTTTTTACTGCATGCCAAAGTAGCCATACAACATTTTGCTGGCGTTTTGGGGTGAGCGATTTATAAGAAATGGGTTTGTTCCTTAGGCTACTTGCATATTAACAAGCAACTGAAATTCCATTTAAAGATAGTGTTGAGCCATTCACACAAAAATAAAGGAAAATGCGATGAATATCTAAAGTTTTCTTTTCACTCACCTATTTCCAAATACTTTTGATGCAGCGGATCATAATTTTCCCAGGTAATGCTGCGAAAACGGTTGCGCTCCTTTGAAACAGGCAGCGACGAGTCCTGGCGATGATGTTCATTTGGATTGCTGGAAAAGCAAAGGAAGTGTTGAGAATGCACTGTTAACAAGTCGTTAAGCAAATTATTAAATAGATTTGTTTTAATATAAAATAAAATGTTTAGAAATTGAAGTGATTTGATTTCGGTCAGAAAAACAACAGAAGTACCAAAATATGCACTTCAAAATTAAATACTTGTATATGTATTAGAAGTTTTATATCAAATTTACTTATTTTAAAAGAGATTAACTTTTGTTTTTCTTCAGTGCCTAAGCAAACACGAAGCATAAAGTGCAACGCCAAAATATAGCACCTACAGATTTTAAGTGCATCGGTTTTGGTGACACATTTTCCTCCAGTGCAAAAGTTAGTAAGACGTTAAAGTGGGACTTAAAAGTGCCAAGCAGACACCAGGTGTCCTAAGTCCGTTCAGGAACACTTTCAGCACCCAAAGCTCCCTCAACTTACCCGGTGCGTGCAAAGTTGGTCCAGAAAATCATCACCGCCTCGGAAAGTGCCGTCTCCGATTTGGTGTAGTTCTGCGGAAAGTGACTGAAGCCATCGACCAGTGGCGCTCCGAAAATGTAGGGCAAGTCCTCCCCGTGCACGGTGCCCATCCTTTGGGGATAGTCGCCGTCCTTCGTCTGGTAATCGAACACATAGAAGTAGCAGCGACCGGAGGGCTGAGTGGAGCCAGCCGAAGTCGAGGCAGCTGCATTAGCACCCGCCGACCCAGCCGGCGAGGATGAGCTCACTGGCGGCGGGGAATTGGCCGCCAGGATGTCCCCTGCACGGACAATCGGAGCCACGAACTGGGCATCGGACAAGGCGGCCACTGCCGTGTCCCGTGTGTTGATCGGATGCTGCGAGGTGCGATCCCAATCCGTGTACTCGTTGACGATCTAGGGGTAGAAATATATATGAAAAAATATTTTCTTTTTTAAATATACTTGTAATTTGAAAACAGGTTTCAACTCTATGCCGAAGAGTCTAAAACTGCAGTCAAAGTCCTTATTTTGAAACCACATAAGTTATGTTTTGATACTTTCGTTGTATTAATTTAATACTCTTCTATATTATGTTATGTTATGTTATGTTATGTTGTACTCAATAGTTTACAATTCATGTAACAATAGTTTAGTTTATTTGAAAAATTTTTTTTGGGTGTAGTAAAAGTCTATAATCTCTTGAAACTATAAGAATTATTTAGAGTAAAGACCAGTTTATATTAATGAGTTGCTTACTTTTGTTTACTTTCAATTAATTCGAAATTTCAATTGCATCACCGAATTTTCCTATGTTTTATTGTTCATTCATTAAAATTTAAAATGCTACAGCGATTGTTCTTGCTTTCTTTTGGGAAGTATAAGGGAGCGAGGGGAATTTTAGATTTGCATTGGCTGCATGTGTGCCAAGTCAAATCCTGGCTGGATTACAAGCGGATTGCAACTGTTTGCTGTCCTTGTTTGCGGTGGCCATTCGCCACCGCGAAGCGAGCAGGATGAGAACTTGTTACCACCACATTGATTATTTCTACCCAGCATGTGTGCGAAAAATGAACGACCGCAAAATGCATCTGTAAAATCGATGTCATGCATAATTTAGGAACCCTATCATAAAAAAAGGCCAAAAAAAACAAAAAATAGAACAGAAACCGATTCTAACAATGGTGTGTGGAATACATTTACATGGTTATTTGATTTCCCGGGCACTGGATTTATTTTTTTGGAAAGCATTGATTTTTTCTACAATAAATTGGGTGACCATTTTAAGTGTTTTTACTTTATACTTTATTAAAAATATTTGATAAGTCATAATTAGCTTGTGGGTTTCGATTGAGGCCAGTTGAATGCCTACCAGTCAAGGTTGAACTGTGACCTATATAAGTTGAGCTTTATTAAGTATAAAGAGAGGGATTGCGTTGCGGTTATACAAAAGTATAATGAAGTAAAATAAATACGGACTTAAGCGCTATAATCGTAATATATGCCCTGGCAATTTACGACTTCTGGATATACGACTGTGTGTGTGTGTGTGTGAATATATCTGCCCATAAGAGCATTCACGTTGCGTGTGTTAATGCCTTGAATGGTGACCAAGGCTGAGGTACAGACAGAGGCACAGAGACAGCTGGGGATTCAGATGCAGATACAGCTACGGATTCTGATTTTGATTCTGATTCAGATACAGATTCAGTTTCAGTTCCAGTTTCAGACGTCGACTGGTGACGGTTGTCGTTGTATGCTTCTCTGTTTTCTCCGCTGCTGTTTGCTGTGATTTGGGTTAAGTGCTGCTTGTGCGCTTTTAAGTAGGTACATGTGTGTCTCTATATCTGTATATATGTGCACACGCGCATGTGTGTGGGTGTGTGTGTGAGTGTGTGTGTGCCTATGTCCTTGCACACATTTGCCAAATAAAGCGTGTTAATGTTTTGGCAGCAATGGCGTGTTAACTGCCTTCCATTTTGCTCGCTTGCACAAAACAAAAATAAAACGAAAAGACAGCCAGCGAGCATAAAATAAATATATACAACAGCCAAATGTAAAAAAATGTTAAAAAGTTGCAAATTCCCTGAAACATGAGACAGATACATGATACAGTGTGCATGTGTATCTGTTTGAGTGGCGAAATGCTACCCATACGCAATGTGAAATTATAATTACACTCGCACACACTCAGAACAGAAGCAACATTTTAATTGACTTTTTTCAGTTGCAGCCGTGGTTGCTGTTGGGCTTTGGCTCTAGAAGTGTTTGCTTTCAGCCAATTACCCTAGGGAAAGTATAAACTTTTCCACCACCTACTTTACGGGGCTTTTAATCATTTTAATGGATTTGAATTGTAGGGCACTTCGTTTGGTTTTAAAACTTGCAGTAAAAATCGAAGTCCTAATTAAAATAAAGAAAAACACATTTTTCTGTCTTTGGTATTTTAGTTTTAAATGTATTTGATTGCTTCTATATCTACCAAGCTTTTAACTTTATTGAAGATTTTCTTCACAACTCTATTATTTTTGGGAGTGTAAAATAGCCAGTGGGATTAAATTTGCATAAGCATCCATAAGTCAACGCTCAATTTGCATACAAAATTGAAAGCAAAAAGAAATGACAAGTAAAATAGATGATTCACTAGGGCGCAACATATTTCTTTCATCCGCGAACTGTCTGTAAAGTTTTCAAGCTTAAACTTTTCAAGTTACAAAGCAAACTTCAAGATAAAGACCATAATTAAGCTTTAACTGATGGCAAAAAACTATTAGACCACATCAAGTCATTTAAGGGGAAAGATAAATCTGATAGAAAAGACTTATTGCTCGAAGCGCAGACATCTCTTCCCCTCTAGCAGTAATATATATATATGTATATATGTTATATAAAAAATAATTGTACTCACCGTATAGAATATCTCGTTGAGGTGATAATTGTAGGCATTGCGAACGTAGGTGCGAATAATTTTATCTCGTCTCTCGCCCTCGAAACCATTTTGTATATCGTGCGCACTGAAGCGCCAAATCGATTCGCCCGTAACGACGCCAAACAGGACGTCATAGTGACCGCCCATGCTGGCCGCTCCCGCACCTCCGCCGCCGAAATATCCACCGCCGAACGCCGATCCGGAGCCACCGCCCCCGCCACCTCCGCCACCGCCACCCGGACCGCCCCCTCCGCCGGCGGACGACTGGAAGCCGGAGTCCGCTGACGAACGCCTCGAGTTGCGCGCCATTAAATCATCGATATCGAGATTGGAATGTCCGGGTCGTATGACAACGCCATCAACCTAAATTGAAATCGAGGAGGGAAAGGAATCGCAAGTAAATGACAGCAGTAGTGGTCCAGGCACGAAAAGAGGAGAGCGTAAGTAAGTAATAAAGTCCATTGAAGCGAGGGCGAACAAAAGGACCAAGTGCCACAAAAAGCGAAATCAATGGCTTTAAATGAGTTCTCTACGATGACTAAATCTTTTCTAAAATGGCATTAAATTTTTCCCAAGAAGTAAAGATTTTTGGTCAGGCAAAGAGCTGAGGGTTCATCATTCAACTCGATGATTGTCTTACATTTTGAATGAATACACTTTTAAAGCAATATAAAGTCACTTTTCAAATATATGAAATAAATATAAGCTTGGATTTTGATAACCAATGTAGAAATGATTTTAATTTTAAATGGATTATTATTTTTTAATTGTTACTTTCATTTATGTCTAATTTTTTTTTTAATAAATGAAGTGTTTTTAAGAAATGACTGATAATGAGTAACTCACCGATGGCCCGAAGGACGTGAGAAAATTGGGAGCCTGAATGTCGGCGGAGTAGAGGTCGTCGAGCGGCACATCCCTTAGACAGTCGACAATTTGCTCGTGATGTCGATTGATGTCCTCGGGAATAGTGCAGTTCACCTCCCTGGCCAACTTGATGGCGAACAGAACCGGATCTTCGACCAGGGCCCAGGATGAGTAGGCTGAACCGGACATTAGAATGGCCCGATGGAATAAACCCCGGACCATCGTGGTCGAGGTCATCAGGTAATTAATGCAGGCCGCCCCCGTTCCATGACCCGCCAAAGTCACCGAGTTGGGGTCTCCGCCGAACTTTTGGATATTCTGCTGGATCCAATGGAGGGCTGCCATTTGATCCATAAGCCCATAGTTGGCCACCCTCGCATGGGCATGCGGATTGGGATTGGCATTGAGGAAACCTGTCGAATAATTAAGATAAACATATTAATAAAAGTAAAAAATATAATAAATATAAAATATATATTTGGCATTATATTAGCAAAAACCATAAGTTTATCCAGAGATTGTCGTCTGTTCTTTTGTTTTAAGAATGTTAATATTGATAATTTTTTAGCCTACCTAGTATTCCCAATCGGTAGTTGAGGGTCACCACCACCACTTCTCCGTAGCTGGCCAGGACACTGCCATCGTAGGGATTTCCGCTGCTCCACTCGAAGGACTCGCCGTGTATGAACACCATCACAGGCAATTTCTTCTCATTGGCTCCGGCTGACATTACACAAAAAAGGAAAGGAAACTGTATCAGCCAGGGAAATCATGATACAAATGTATATTAGTTGTACATTTTTTTTTAACTTGTCATAACGCGTTTTTCCTTTTCAACACACCACCGCCAAGTGCCCGAAAGCGCTCATGACCCATTAAACGTTTCCGTTTGCGTGCAAAGCGGATTGCGCCAGCACTCCGGCGGAGGAATCGCTTCAGATTAGCGATTTCCCCGGATCCGGCTGCCCTGGGATTGTGAGCTTAGTGGGGTGGCACTTGCGATAAGATTTGCGCAGTGGTTACGTGAGCTCTCGGTTTTCTTTTGCGTAGAAATTATTGGCATTACGTGGCGTACGATTAATCTTAATTAATTGAATTTAAATGAGATTTATGTGAAGCTTTTTGCGCTTAATTTGTCGGCGGTCATTTTTCGTGGAATTCCAGCACAGCGTCTTAAAGTTCACTTCATTGTGCTTACCATTGACCGGCGAGAAGACATTTAGGTAAAGACAGTCCTCGGACTGGTTCTCCAGAAAGGGCAGCAGTCTCTTCAAGTATTCCAGGCGACCCTTGGGCATTTTCTCCAGCGCCGCCGTTTCGTTTTGAATGTTGGGCAGTCGCTGCGGACAAACTGGACTGTATTTATCCGATATGCGAATGCCGTCCCAAGGCGCTGGAGCTCTTGTGGGACTAAACCTAAATAGTAGAAATTGAAAGCTTGTTAGCTTGGCATATTTGATTTAGAAATAGTCCTATATGAAATAAATCTCTTAAACATATCAACTAGGTTGGGAAGATTTTTATACAAAAAAGTATATAAACACAAAAATTTGAATGAATGAAATTTAAAGTGTGAAAAGAGTTTCTTGTACTGTTGTTCAACACCATTTTACTTTAAATTTACTAAATATTAAACACTCAATAAGACATTTTAGTAATCATTGCCAAAAAAAAAAACGAAATAAACTTGATTAAAAATCTTAACCAATTTGTATATATACCATATTTGTTTGTATCCCTACTTACCGATTTTGTTGGGTGGGTGGCGTTGCATATGGCACTCCAAGGAAGACCTCCACGGATCGCAGGAAGCGAAAGCTGTCCAGCGGCAGGATGAGTCCGTGGAGTCGGCCGTAGCGCGTCTGGACGATGCGGTGACCCAGCCGGGCGCCCTTGTATATGTCCGCCGTGGAGGCCTCCGCACAGTCCATCCAGCCAATGAGGACGGTCGGAAGCAGCAGGATCCGCAGCAACAGCAGCAGCTGACTTTCCCCCATCGTGGCACAGTGGAGCTTCAAGTTATGCGACCTGACCGAGCTATTGTCAAACTGTCTTCACCTATTTCGATGTGGCTCTCGATTGACTTGTTTTCTTTCTTGTCATTTAGACTACCTGTGCTGATGGGCTGGGATGATAAGACGAGCTGCCAGCTGACTGGATTTCATCTTGATCTGAAAATAAGGGGAAAGAAACTTATTCTTGTTAGGTTTTTAAGTTAATTAAAGCGTTGCTAAAGTATGTTAAATTAAATCGAAGTTTAAAAGTTTGCTAACGTTAAATTAAAGAGCAGGTCTGATTTGGTAGTAATTTAAAAAATCAAATGCACCAGAAAAGATACGAGTCGGGTTTTTTCTTAAGAAAAAACGATTAATTTCAATAGTTGAAATGTTGAAATTTTAGCATACAATTTCCATATCGGAATTGACCTTTTATATATTTATTCAGAACAACAAGCCTGATGGATATGTCCAATTACCAATTGATTATTAAAATAACTTTTTTTTTGGATTATATATTCATTTCCCAGCTGTTGAAAGTTAACTAATTCAATTATCTTTTTTACCGATAGTCGTGAAAACAAATTGGTCGTTTAGTATCATGAATATGAATTGCACACCTAGAGTATTTATTTTCCATTTCAAACCTGACGTACAAAAACGGAGAGAATTTTATATGAGTGCTGTTTTATTTTTATGCGAACCAAGCTGGGCAAGTACACGAATAAACAAGGTCACCAGAACATTTTCCATATCCACATGAATGTGCATCTGGTACCCTCAAATGTATCTCTATCTGTGCATTCATCAGACTGTGTGGTGTGAGCCTCAAGGTTACTTTACACATTCTTAACTGTGCCATTGCAATTTGTGTGCGTTTTTTAAGCTTTTGCATTGCATTTGTTCTAGCTTTTTGGCATTACTCTACTTATTTCTGTGCAGATATCTCCTTGTTTCTGCGCTGACAATTCAAGTACGCACAGCAAGTGGTGGTTGTGTAAGTAGCTCATTTCAAAATTAACCCTTATTTGTAACAAAAAATATCTCTTTATATACATATATACAAGTATATGCGAAATGTTAGCTAACCGTTGGGAAAACAACGAGATGAATATCAAAGCAAACTAACTGCGGAGGGAATATGCTAAAAAAATGTATTTGTTCGAATGGTTATGCAGTAAATAGGGATATTGCTTTTTAACTTAACTTTGAAATGCTTTAGGCTGGGCTTATAATAAAACAAAAAGACTATCAGTTAACCCAGCATTTTATGTGTAAAAAACATAATATAAAAGGTAGTTTTGAGAAGGTATATAATGACTATATAGTCAACAACTAAGAATTGTAAGTTTTAGATTTGGAAACCCTATTTACCTCAGACAAATACTACAAACACTATAGAAACTTATCATTTCAAACTGATAAAATGAAGCTGGTGGTAAACTTTTTGGATGCCCTGCGAAAGGTGCGTCTCAAGTTGTCCATGGAAAACTTTGGCAGCACCAACCAGGCGGCAGTCAAGGACATGAAAAGTGTGTTTCAGTGGGTCAAAAAGTCAAAACAGGAGACCGAAGGCTCCGAGGCCCTGTGGCAGAATATCAAGAGGGTGTTGCTCATGTGCGGCGGCCAGAAGAAACCAGGCGGCGTTGAGGATGAGAAATGGATGCAGGACTCTTGTCGCTTGGTGGATGTCCTGGAGGCGCAGCGATTCGTTAGCCAGGTGTTCGCCGCCATGCAAGTGCCCAAACAGGCGGCCAGTGAAATGGCCGATGCCTTGATAGCCGCCGATTATATGGGCCAGCGTTCCATGGGCATCCATCGGTTGCCGGCGATTGCAGCTGATCTTCTCAATTGTACCGTTGCGGGGGATGCCACACCAGGAATCGTGTCCGAAAAGAAGGCCATTGCCTTGGTAGATGGCCATAATGCTCCTGGCCCCGTGGTGGCCAACTTTTGCATGGACCTGGCCCTGCAAAAGGCCAGGGAAGTGGGAATCGGTTGGGTTTCCGCTCGCGGCTCAAATTGCATTGGCTTCGCCTCTTGGTATGCCTGTCAAGCGTTGGAGCAGCGAATGATTGGTCTGTGCATGACCAACGCAGCTCCTACTCTGGTGCCCTCCGGAGGGATTGAGCCAATTTTGGGAGAAAACCCCATTGCCTGTGCCGCGTCCGGGGTTCATGAGCAATTTCTGGCCGATTTCGGCATGGCCGCCTGTTCGGTAGAGGAACTGGAGCTATCCTATTGCAACGGCTGGTCAAAGGAAGTGCCCAAATTAGTGGCTTTGGACAGGAATGGAAGGGAGACCACCTCAACGGAGGAGGCTTTGAGGGCTCAAAGAATACGAGCCTTTCAACCGGAACACAAGGGGTTTGGCATGGCTGCCATGGTGGACATTTTGTGTGGTGTGATGACAGGTGCTCGATATGCAAATCAAATTCAGCGACGTGGAGTCTATAGTAGGGAAAATGCTGCGGCGGATTTGGGCCAAGTTTACGTGGCCATCGATCCGATGCGTTTTTGTCCCTCTTTTGAGGACCGATTGGGCGATTTCCACCGGCTGTTGAGACAGGCGATGCCCACCAAGGTGGGAAAAACCGCGATGGTTCCGGGCGATAAGGAGATGCTGCACATGAAGATGGTCGACGAACAGGGCGGACTAACAATGTCACCCTGCACCCTGTGCGTTCTAGAGGAACTGGCCACAAAGTTCGGCATCGTTCCACTAAAGATGAATGGCAGTAAACCTAGTGAAGCAACAATTTCTGAGGATCTGCATGTGGCATAGCTAAATCTTGCTTGCAAAAAATATTAAAACTTAATGAATAAAATTTAACAAATTAAAAATATTTGTTATAAACCAGAAGTGAGGTAGCACAGAATAAAAAATGATGTGTTCAATATTTTTTTATCCTGTGCTTACAGTCTTTCTGGTTTAATGCGCAAATAGTTTGTTCAAGTGGCTTAATTTTCTTAATTATAAAATCAATGAAAAAGGATCAAATCAATCAGTAATGTGTACTAAGCTAATAAAAACTTACAAGGAAAAAACGTATAAATAAATTAAAATAAAATTATTATTAAAGAACATAAAGCGGATACATTTTCAACGCATTTGTATTTCTAGTAAAAAATCTAGTAGTTCAAGGAAATTTATAAGCCCTGATATGTGAAAGAAAACTGGAATTAAATAAATTTAAATTTAACTTAAAGCTCAGATTTCTTAAACTTACGAGAAATTAGAAAATATTAAAATAAAATAGAAAAGTAAATTAGATGAATACCTTTAACATTATATTAGATTTAAAATAGTACGATATCACCTAATAAGATATGTAAAAGTAAACCGAAATAAAATGAATTTATATTTAACTTTAAGCTCAGACTCCGATTTCTCCTTGGCGATATCAATTGATGCCAAAGTTCAAGAGAATAAATGACCAAAGTTCGTTAAGCAAATGTTCACCTTTAATATGGGAAGGAAAAGGAGAAAATTTCAAACAAAAAATTCCTTGCCCGTCGACTAATTATGGAGCGTTAAAATATTCAAAAGATCAAAACCAGCTCGTCTTTCTTCGTCTGCCGGCGTCTATTTGCGCACGGCAATAAAAAGGGGAAAAAATCAGCATAATTATTTTCGCTAATTTATGCACTCCCCGGAAACCGCAACTCGTACTTCCAGTCGCAAAAAGTAGGAGCCCAACAGCTGGGCCAACTAAAAATAGCAGCTCAGGTACTTGATTGGGCGATTGTGTGCGTGTCTGTCAGAACCAAGTATCCAAATCGATATGGAAGACGGCAAAGAACAGTCTAGAGTGGCGAAGAAATCTTCCCAATCATTGGCAGAATGATTAATATGATTTCCTTGCTCATCAGAGTCTGGCCGTGGGGGCGTATGAGTAATAAGCTGAAACTTTTTATGACAGCCCCAGGGTGGCAGAGTAAATTATGGCCACCACCCAGTTCTTATGATGTGCGTTGTCGTCGCTAGTCGATGGCCCTATTCTTATCCGTATTCCCAGTTTCCTTGGAACGCAACACCTGCGACCTATTGAGGTTCTGCGGTTGCTTTCACAGAACGCACGTGACTTCGGCGTCTTTGCTGCGACTTGGATTTAGATTCATGACATTGTAATCGCTTATTACCGCTGCCAATCGCTAGTGAAAGTGGGAAACAAGCTAAGTTAAGGGACCTGGTTTATATATAGACGCCTGACGTCTCGGTTTTCACTTTGAACTCATTTATCTTCATTGAATTGATTTTATTTTTGTTGACGCTGGGTAAATTAGGAAACAATGTGATTGATCTGAGCAGAGAACAGACTTCGCTGAACAAATTTTCTGGTGGGTAAATCATTCGATGATCTCCCAGGGCAAGTGGACACGATTATTTATTTTAGACATATCCTAGCTTTGCGAAATTGACAACTTAAGCTTATGGCAGTGCTGTTGTTCTTTCTGCTCGACTTACCTTCTGAAAGTCAATGATCTATATACACGCATCCATATATATAGCTGCTGCTTTTATGACTACTGGCAGTTTTATTGTTTGTTCTGCTGGCGAAAATAATCCTTGACTTCGACTCGGTCAGATGGGACAGTAGAAATTCCTTTTGCTTTAAGCTCGCGTATCCTTTTCTCCTTTATATGTTATTTCCTTTTTACTTCTTTCGTAGTTGGTCACACAATTGCACACTCACTCCCTTATTGATAAACACTATTGGGAAACCAATCATGTTGATATTTCATACATCGTGCACCGAAAAATATTTCATTTCATGTTTTAAAGTGCGTTTTAATTGCTTTCACTTTTCAAGGGATTTTGCTTTTATTTGCTTTTTTCGTCGTTTCCTTTCGGTTTCGTTAGATCCTTTGTTGGAAATTGAATCGTTTGATTTTTTTTTCTTAATTTTTTGTGGCAATTTCAAATTGCCAAGTTATTATTTTGTAAATAAATTTAACGTTTTGAACAAAGGATAATTCTCGGATTTCATTTTTTATAAGTTAATTACATATGAAAACGTATTTTACCCAAACAATTAAAATAAAATAAACCGCATTCAGCTCCCCTTATAAAAAACCCTACTATCTTTTAGATTGACTGCGATTTTTCAGGTAATAAATTCCCGAATTTTTAACATGAAAAACTCATTAAATGTCAATTAAAATGTATAAACTTGTTGGATTTCCACAATGCTTAAAAAAAAATGTTCCCCAAAGTAAATATTGAACGATGTTCTGTTTTTTATTAAAACTATTATTTATTCAAAGGTGTTAATGATTCAGAAGATAATATATTTAAAATATTAAACAACAACAATTAAACAAAATTGTAAATTGACGAAGATGAAAATATTTACAAATAAAATAGGCAAATTAAAAAGTCTTACTAAATTGTCGTCAAAAAGTAGTTGGAAATTAGGGTCTTGGCCTTAGCTTTTGATGACTTGAGCCGTCAACAATTGAAACTTTTGCTTGCCTACTCTGAGGGGTTACGGCGTCGTTGGCTTTTGCTTGGCATAATTATTCCATCCACGACGATTACATTTACAAGAGCCTAATTGCATGCAAGTCGTGCAGCGAAGGGACAAATAAAAGCCATGCAACGTTGTTACCCCGAAATAAAAACACTCGAGCGTCAATGACCGTTAAGTGGAATGTGCACGATGTGGCTGGAGCATTATAGTGCTTCAGGAATTTCGTTTTTATTTTCGAAACTGCTTGGGCGCCTGCCCTACGCAACAAAAATTTTGTGTGAGACGAGAAAAAGCGTAAAATAAATAAAGATGGAGAAATGCCACAAGACAGCAGGCAAAGATGAAGATGGCGCGGCTCTACAACGTACTCTTATGCCTTGGCATACATTTACATTTCACGCACACACAGGACGTAGATGTGTTTGTCGATTCTCTTTAATTTCGCATAGATAAAAGGACAACTTCTGCCTAAAACACATTTTCAATTGCCCACTTTTACAGCTTGCGATGATACACTAACACACAGCCGCAATCCGGCACATCAGCACACCAACACACACACGCAGCGCGAGGAGATGAGAGAAAAGGACCAAGTACCGTTGCCACGTGCAAATTTCCGGCTCCGCGACGATTTTAGTTGTGTCCACGACGAACGAGTGTATTCCAACGATTGAAGATGTCCTTCGTTGGTGGCCAGGCTTCAGGCCTCCTCGGCAATGTGGGTTAAGCTCCAAGAGAAATTCGCTATTCTCTCTCGCCGGAGAGAGAAAGAGTGCCCTGGAAGTGGAACGCATTCAAAGCTCTCTCTCTCTCTCTCTCTCTCTCTCTATTTCTCTCGCTTAAATCAAATCAGCTGTTTGCTCCACCCCCTTAAAATCGAAAAAATAACGGGGAAAAACCAAAACAACAATGGGGAATTCAGTCAATTTGGTGCCGCTGTTTTTTTTGTTTCTACTTCAGGCACACCCCTTCCTCTTCCAAGCTCTTTTGCTTTTACGCTTTGATTTTCCTTTTCTACGAATTTTATGCCGTCGTTATTACCGTAGTCACATGGCGACAGGCTCACTCAGCTTTTATTGGGGCAGGTAATGGTTCCTCGATGCCACATCCTATTCGACGAATGAAAGAGTTTTTATTTCATATTTAAATGGCTCGAAGGGGAGCGTCATTGGTACTCAACCAAATACCTTCGAATAAATAATTAAATATGTCATAAAAATTCAACTTTTATTGTTAAGTCGGATGTAGAACAAAAGAACTTTCTGTTATTTTTATTTTGATAGTTCCACAGGCTAGTGATAAATAGCTTCGACTTTTATGACATCTTACTTGTGTGCATTAGTTTACTGTTATAAAAGTAGTAGTAGTATTAAATCTTTAAAGTTGCATTTCAATATAAGTTAAAAAAATTATTTTAATCATATTTTTTTAAATTGATGTTTCATAATATTATTTTAAATTCGGTGGGTACATTTATGCTTTTATTTTAAGAATTTTAATAGGTAATGTTATGTGTAAGGAGCAAAATGCTATCGCACTACAACCAGTATCAATATTTCCATTACAAAGTTTCAAACTAAGTTAAACTGAAAAAAAACTTAAACAACTATAAGTTTCTGAAAAAATATAAGTTTTGAAATGAGTTTTCCTTCAAATGGTGACAAACTCAAATACGAAAACTTTGTGATTTATTTTTCCACATAAATCCTAGTCTCGGAAATCACATACATGTCGACGGGCAGAACGCTAACAAGACAAATCAGCTTACCAGTAGCAGATTCCGCCAGCCATGAGATCCTTTGTCATCATCAAAAATGCCGAGAAAACCGAAAACCACCCTGAGAGCAACAATGACAACTTCAATGAATGGCGACAAATCAGTTAGCTAAATGTTGCCGAGCCAAGCGTGCGTGCGATCTGACCGCAGTTCGTGTGTTTCCATCATCGAAAATCCATACACAAGGCGAAGGACGAAACGGCCAGGACATAATTGAAAGCGAAAGGCGGTGACGGGGTCCATGAAAAACAAGTGGAAATAATTTTCCAGCATAAATCTTGGCACGCCAAGTTATTACAGTAATTTCAAGATAAATGTCCGATAAATAAATGTATAAATGTATTCGAGGGAGCAGACGCAGAGATGTCTAATGAAGTAGCAGCAGAAATCATGCTGTGTCGGACCGGTCCACACTGCGTATGCGTGATGCTTGATGTCTCATGTCTTATTGGATTAATGAGAGGTTATTGCCCTCATTTTTCATAATACTCGATTGGTGTCTGTTTCACCCATTTCCATGGTCGTAAATATTCAAAATAACAATGGTTAATCAGCCAAAAGCGTATATACACTGGAATGGTCTGCACACAAGCATAAATCAAATTATTTTCTATTTAATTTGGGGATTTCTTGCGTTGACAAAAACCAAAAGCCGCTAAGCTTAGTTCTCTGCTCCTGAAATGTTGAGCCATGCCACCATGGACATCCGCCATGGTAACGAGTTGCGCGTGTAAGCATCATTGATATACATATTTATATATTTACCATCAAGTAACAGCATGTGTTCGTTGGCTAAAATTTATAGGCTTTATATGCAAAGCTTGGCACGCAAAATTTCAGCTTGAAATGTTTTCAAATTTTCGCAAAGTTACTTGGCATAGCGAAATGTCAGAAGTAAGAACCGGATATCAAATTATTTCATAAGCTATCATGGAATCTCGGGCAGCATCTCAAACAATTTATGTTACGCAAATTCCAGACAGAGCGCCGTTGAACGGGCTTGTAACAAATTTAATTTTTAATTAATGTCATTAATAACAACAAGATCCGCAGAGCAAGGCATGTTTTAATGGGTTAAGACTGGAAAATCGTCGCCGGGGGTCTGCGGGTTGATTTTTAACGCGCAATTGAAGTTAACAGCCGTCCGAAAATGCGGGGTATTGTCTGTTTTTCCGCTCGTCTGTCCGTCTGTCTGCCGAGAGGGAAACAACCGCAAAACAAAACTTTGCAATTTGCTGCGAGTACAAATTGGAAAATCTCCCTCCAGGCGGGTGTCCAGACAATGCTCACTTAATGCTCGGCCACGAGCCGATCCGCACTTTAATTGTTGATTATACAAATTGTTTGATGCCCATGTAGCCCACGCTCTGTGGTCCGTGGTCCGTTGGCCGTTGCAAGGCCATAAAATATTCAAGTTGAAGAGTTTTCCACGACGGGCACGCACTAAAAACCACAAATGGTACTGGATGATGGGTTGAGCATGTGGATGGATGAGGGGGCAGAATCAGATCCCTCAGTACAGCCGACATTGGCAGCATGGTTGTTGTCATCCGATCCGGCCACATAAAAGTGTAATTAAGTTCGCGTGTCGCACATTTAATTGTTTTTTAATGAATGAGGGAGCAAAAATCATTTTACACAGCAGCTGCATTTCATAGGCATCCGGCGTGTTGGCACAAGGAGCTACCAGCAGGGACACAACTCCCAGTGCTATGCATTTTTCCGATGCTTTTTTGCTGCCCAGCCCCTTTTGCATGGCAGCCGTGCGAAAAATTGTATTTTTCCCGACGCCAAAAATTTAATTATTTCCGTTTCTCTGATTTGTTTGACGCTCAAATTGAAAAAATGGCGAACCATTTAAACATTCTGTGAACCCGAACAATTCTTATGGCAAACATTCCACTTTCAGTCGTCTGTCGCTCTGTTCACAAGTGAATTGATTTCACTGGCAAAGGGCTGCGGACATAAAAGATTTATTTCGAATTTAAGTTCGGTCTACATTCGAATAAAATAAAGCCGAATAAACAATTTGTTTATTTCTATCAAGAGAAATAAATAAAGAAAAAACTAGGGGAAATTTTAAATTGTGTTGAATGGTCTAGAGATACACATTTTAGTTCATTTTTAAATGAAGTAACCACTCTCATATATCATAAGACTTTCTGAGCGTTGTGCGTTGAATTTATGATACAAGAAATGCAATAATGCATAAATAGAATATATTTATCGATAACCATTTCCAAACTATTAAAAATTTTGTCATAAATCAATAAAAATACAGAGCGAAATACGATTTATGCGATGCCAGCACTTGATGCTCGAATGTGTGTGTAATTCGCACAAAATATTTTATATGCAAATTGCAGAGAAAGACGCAAGGCGACCGTCGATTTCTGGCGACGCCAAGAAATATGCAAAGAGTATTTTGCCAAGGAAAATATTGCAAAAAGGGAGACGAAACAAAAAAAAATAAATAAAACCGTCGAAATGCCGTTGGTTTCTCCTTCTGCTTATTGGCGCACTTTGCTCCTTTTACAGTTGCATGAATTTTTGAGCAGCATCACTTCCGGTTATAGTAGCCGGAAATTGCAACAGAAATACTTGCCACACACACACTTACACACCCGCAGCGCAGGCATATGTATGACATTTGTATGCAAATACTGAGTCGATGATTTTGCATATGTTTGCCCACGAAGTGCCACGGTGCGTATGCGGGATGTGCACCAGCAATATTTCTTTACTTTCGCTTTATTTTTATTTCCCCAACAAGATTCACCTGCATCGGTGTGTTTCTTCTGAATATTTCCCTCCTTAGCCCCCTGGACAGACAACCTTTGCTCAGCCCTCGGGCCCATTGATGGCTGGCAGTATTTATGAGTCGCATAAAAATGGCAAATTTGTGGCAGTCATTGAGTTATTTTCAGGTGTGTCTCTCCGCCGTCTCACTGGGGAAGAATTCTCACAGAGAAAATAGAGGAAACTACTAAGGGGGGTAACATTTTGCAAGCTAAGTGAGTCGGATTTGCATATTTTATATGGCAAGGATTTGTAGAATTTCCCCCGAATGCTGAGAATTTTGTGGCATTTACATTTTTTCGACATTTTACGATGCCAGCAAAAAGAAGCAACGCACTGAGTACACTTGTGGGCAAAGTAATTGAAATAATAATTAAAGTTTTTAAAAATTACAAGCCGTGAAAATATATAAAAGTCTACAATTTATTGAACAAATACTTGTCCAGCCTTGCAAAAATTAAACATAATTTAAATGATTAAGTACTAACCAATTGTTATAATGAAAATTTATATTTATGCACGATATATATAATGGTTTGATAAAACAAAAAAGAACTATGCTAGAATTATACCAAAACGAGTTCTCATAATCATCAAACTTTTAGTGGTAGGAGTGAGAAACCATTTAATAAGAAAAATTTCAATAGAGAACCCTAAAACTATTTAGTCTTTTCATTACAAACTAAACATATATATGTTTTAAATTGTACATTTTAAAATAGGACCCTCCCCAATGTACAGAAAGGTTTTTGGCTCCGTCAACTTAATAATTATGACAAAAGTTTTCTCAGAAAGCGACAGGCTATAATTAAACTTTGGCCTCTTTATGGCGTCGGCCGTCAAGTTAACCGCGATTAACACACAATCAGCTTAAACGTTCGACCCTTTGCAGCTGGGTAGGCATCCCACTGCGATCTTTGCATCCTGCCGTCAAGGACCTCCAGCTCCATGGTACAGTGCGCTGAATATTCGCGCTTTATGCTCAAAAGAAATTGACATAATTTTAAAATATAAGAACGCGGCGAAAAGGGCGACAAAGATGCCCAAATAAAAAGGCAGCACAGCACAGGACAGGACAGCA